AGGCAGGATGTAAGCGATGAATTGAAGCAACAACTGCAAATTATGCCAGAGAGAACTGATGACACTGTATTTTGCCACGATGGCAGACTTGGTTCTCTGCTCTCTGAGATCCGGAGCAAGCCATTTGCACTCGGGTGCTAGGAGTGCAACTCGGGTGTAACTCTGCATTATAAGGTTGGTTACAGAGATCATACCCTACGGGCTAGCTATGAAGGAACTTACCGAACACAGCAACATGTAATCCTGAGTTACAGCTACTGCCAAGAGTGCTCCAGATTCCCTGGGATGACAGACATCACACTAACACAATGTGGTGTCCAGCAAAAGCTGAACCATGTGACTGTTTTCCTAACTGTTAATACTTCCACGACCGAACAATCTGGAGTCTTGAGTACAGCATGCAGTCTGTTTTACCACCATCTTCTCAAAACAGAAGATTGATTAAAAAGATTTCTTAGCTAGAACCATTATATTCTGGCATTACATCCATTTTTCACTTGGCCGATCCTTCCCTCCCTCTCCTGCACATCCAAGGCACAAGCCATACTGGGAGAGCACCAAAGGCCAACTCCATCCAACACTTGAAGCTTCTCCCAGCCTTAATCATAGAATCACGGAATGGTTTGGGTTGGAAGGGACCTTAAAGACCATCTAGTTCCAACCCCCTGCCATGGGCAGGGACACCTTCCACTAGACCAGGTTGCTCAAAGCCTCATCCAACCTGGCCTTGCAGACATTTAGGTTGACCTTTGGGCCAAATCTGATGCTGGTACAAGTGCTGTACAGTCAGAATACATTCCAGGAGACTTGGGTTTTGTTTAAGTGGATATAGTCGTTTCAGTCAGTTCCCTAAGGATGACTTCAAAGCGACTAGACTACCATTTGGGGGCAATATCCAAAATTAGAAAGTCCCCTAAACCTTACAATGCGAGGATGTGCCACAAAAGTGTTTCTCTCAAACTTCTGGGCTACATAGCAGATTACATCAACACAACCTGCCCAGCACTGTAAAATCAGAAAGCATCTCAAAGCAGAATGGGACACACAAGAACATTCTATGGAATTCATAAAACCAAACTCAAAACAGCATGAAAAAAGTAATTTTTATTTTTATTGTTTACAAAAGCATGAACACCTTACGCAAAAGCAGCATCCTGAATCACACATTTCCCTCATCCTCCTGGGATACTGGCAGAAAGCAAGTATTTTATCTGCTCCTTAGGGTTAAACATACTCCGCTGAGGTAAATGGGAACCATTCCACCGATTTCCACGGAGCTCCAACTGCTTATGTTAGCAAAGGGGCCAACACAGACCGCAACGCAATGAGATGTCATACGGGAGACTTGCTCTAGGTGCCAAATTGCCTTAGTCTGTGCTTCTAACCAAGATGAATACGCTATCCAGATACTTAATAGGCTCTCCATTCTCCTCAATTTTAACTGAAACGGATCTAATTTTAAGTACCTGTTTAAACATTCCGACTCTCACCCCACACTAACTTCATGCAAGGTTTAACTTTATGTACCATGAACAATTGTACTCAAGCTTTTAAGAGATAGTAAGGATGCTTATAAGCTATTTTAGGAGTGAGTCTTTTCAGCACAATAGCTATGTACTCCTTTCTTACCCGCCTCCCCAGCACATGGAGGTCAAATGTTTACTCTGAAGAAACATGCTTTAAGGTTACTCTGAAAAAAATGGGCAGCATTTTTATTTTGCCTTCATCTTTTTCTCCTGATCTGGAGCTGACAGTACTTAATGGTGATACAAGCAAATAGGTCAGGCTTTTGAACCTACAGAGAAACACTGATTTATTTATTTAAAGAAGTGTTCTGTTAAACAGAGAAATTTGATTGCAATGACCTGGAGCAAATTACTCATAATGTTTCCTAAAATGATCCCTACTACATAATTCCTCAGCTCCTCCAAGTTGAGGTCCCTCCCCTTAGAATCTACAACTGATGCCTCAAAATATTTATTCCACTGGGAGAAACAGCTCTGGCTTGTCTGCCATTCTATGTCTAAAATGGCTGACAAACACTATTTATGTCTGCAAGACTGATACTGGATCTATGGATCAATGAAAACTGCTTCATTTTACTGCTCGAGCTGTAGCATCTGTTCTATTAGCTCCTGCCAACTTCACATTAAAGAAATATAATTTACTTCACATATTGAAAGAACCTGCTAAGAACCCATATATATACACATATGCTATGTATGTGTACACGTGTATATCTATACACACACACACTCATTTAAATGACAAAGTGCTAAAAGAATCCAACAACTGTCACTGCTAGAGATGAAGCTAAACGAAATGGTATCACTTATATGGCATCAAATAATTATGAGACTCCGGTCCAAGAGCTTCAGAACTGTTAGCAAAAAAGGGTCTTTCATTGGCAAAAAAATGAAAAAAGCTCCAAATGGTTTGAGTTTCGCCTTGAAATAAATTGAAAGTGTTTAAGAAAAAAAAATTACCATGCAAAGTAGATTTTATAATTTACATTTCAGTTCTGTGTATAGCAAACACACATTTATACATATATTTATTACTTTCATGGCAAAATTCTGAGGTGCCTTGGACTCAGCCATGACTTTAACGAACCTGGCAGTATGTCACACGCTACCTCAAATTTTGACAATGAATAAGCTGTACAACTTCAGCCCTGTATCCTGTGAGTCTGGCTGCATAGTCAGAAACAGAAGTATTGCACTCAAGACCACGCCTACAAAAATGCACATTTAATAAGGCCATTATATTCAAGATCATAATGGGGCTCAAGTCACATGAATAGTCAAATGGCTCATAAACAGAACTAGGAAAGCCATACTGCAGAAGATGGACTCGAAACAGCAGTGTTCCTGCAATTTGATAACCGATTTCTTCCCCCTCACCCTCCCCTCCCCCCCGCCATGAAACGCCAACCTCGCTAGCTGGTTTCACCCGCAGGGCCAGACACCATGACGGGTACGTACGCACGCATTCACACAGTGCGCCGTTCCATCTGTTCTTACAAGTTACCAGGTGCCCCAGAGGTTGAGGGTAGGATTCTACCCAGGTTCTGCCAATAAGGTTCCAGTTGTTACGAACTTTAAGCGGTTTCCATGCATGAGGAGGGGGGAGTTGACTTTCAGTTATTTAAATATTCGCCGACATGCAAGACATGATTCTTACTTTACAAAGTGTAGCAAAGACGTAATTGAACCTGCACTGGAACACTCCTCAGCATGCTCTTTCAGAGCTAGATCACACTAAGAGTATCAGTTTATCTGATGTGGCTTACCGAAAGAGGGACAGAGCAAACCACCAGTTAAACACACCAGAAGGAATGGTACAGATGTACAAGTTAGCTGCCCGCATCCCGTGGCAAAGAGAAAGAAGCTACCCTTCAACCAAAGTGGGGTGAGCTGCCTTGAATTTACAGTAGGGTAAGTGTAGTCACACCAGCCTTTACCTTGGAGTAGCGGGGTGTGCTGTCAACCTGCTCCCTTGCCTTGTAGTTATTTGCTCCTTTACCCGTTCCAGAGTCACCCAGTCAGCCAGCATTTTCGCTTGGTTAAGGGTAGTGGTATTTGTCCAGGAAGGAAGGGTAGTCTGTCCCTCTTCCCCACACCATACTACACAGTTATGCAAATGCAGAAAGCATCAGTACAAAGGCTGGGAGAATCACAAGACACAGCAGATGGGAAACTTCATGGTCACATGCATTACAGTTCAGCAGAGACATGCCTTCACAATCCTGTATTCTACCATAAAATCCACAGGGATGAAGATTATGGGTGAGCTACCTTCCAGGTCGACCGACTCCAGCACTAGGAATTATTTCTGAACACAACAGCCTATATCCAACCCTTTTTTTTCTAGAACATGTTTTTTGGGTTTAGACAGTTTTCAGTACAGAGGCAAGAGAGACAATACCTGAGACACAGAAGATGTGACCTGTTTGCATATTAAACAGACAAATAGATAATCAAGATGCAAAAGTTATTACACGTGTCCCACAATTTACACCTACAGCTCCACGTGCTTTTTTCCTGAAACGGAGGTGTCACTTGCTGGATGCAAGTTTGTCACTAGCGATGAGTATGTTTTTCACCAGAGCTGGGAGAAATGCATTTAGACAGCAACCACACAGCTCTTGCAGTGATGAGTAAAGAACCTGGGAGTAATGGTTTCTGATTCCACTCCTGCCTTAGACTCGCTGCACGCTGAGCAGCTCAAAATGTCTCTCTTAATAATCACATTATTTGGAAGGAGAATATCTCTTTCCATATTTTCTTCACAAAAGGAGCAGTAAGACGTCCATCAGTGTATCACTTAAGATTCAAAGCTATCTACTTATTTTAGCAGTTTTGACTGAAAAACTATTAGCAGGGCCACTTTGTAAATTAGGTTGAAAAGAGCCGAGAATGCTTTTTGGAACAGAGTTTCAGAAGCCTGTCTGTGACACTCACATTAAAAGGGTGGCCTGACTACTAGTAATGCTTTGTCTGCACGTGTCGAAACAAATCGAGCACTGTTGGGTATCGAGCAGCAGCAGTATGTTCAACATCTGATGTTTGCTCTATTTCGTACCTTTAAACAAATTCTCTCTCCCAATGAAGTCGGTTTTTTGTAGTTAGCATGACTACCCATACACACAGCACATCTAATTGGAATTACATAGTGTTGTTTTCTCTCCACCATGGTATTATCTCCCCATTTTTGGTATCAGTCAGCACCATGGGTTTAATGCAGGTCATGAACAGCAAGCAGCAGGCCTACTTTAACTACCTGCTTCAGACAATGCATTGTTTCATATTTATACATCCTTAAAATGTTTTCTTTACTCAGCCATACTAAAAGCACCACTCCAAAATTTAAGTTTACATTGAAAAAGGTTATTCATGACTTGACCAAAAAATACCCCCCAAAATTCCTTTTACTCCCACAGGAAATAATATTTTCTCCTGAATCAGTGTTAACAGATATTTATATTAGAGGACTCCATATTTCAGAAACCAGTTATTTAATGCTCAATGTTCTTTTCAGCAGATGAAGAGGTAGGTATATTTCCACACAAGAAAAAAAAAACAAAACTGTAACAGACAATTAAATCAAGTAATGTCTGAAAAGTCAAACACTGTTCTGACAGCACATAATGTGTCTGAAGACACTCTCCAAGGAGGACAAGAAAAGTTGCGCATTCTGATTAGATAATACATCATAATTTGAAATTTAATAATTTTCTGGAAAGAAAACACAAGTGTCCAAACGCTACTTCCTTCCCCCTCCCTCCCCCATAGAAATGTGGGTGCCAACAAAACTGCCTGTATCAATGGTAGTGTTAACTTTTGGACTGACATGGAATCAACTGCAATTCTTCCTTATAGTCACCAACACCAGCAGTCTACGAGTTTACACAGAGACCATATGCATGATAATTACATAATTACAATAGAAATTCAACTTTAGTGTTGTTCTTAAAACAATCTTCATAAATAATGAAAATATCTGTGTTCTAGCTCTTCAGTAACCTAAGGTTAATTGGTACAGATAGTGGTTTTTTTCTTCCTTTTATAAACCGAACTGGAGGTTCCTCACTGCCAACAATGGTTAAGGCCTGGATCAAGTTACTCTCCTTTTGCTTTTCCCTTTTTCTGCTTTTTTCCATTTTCCACCACTGCATTATTTTCTGGTTTGCTTACTCCATTTGTAACAGCACCATTTGCTATTTTGCCATTCTTTATGGTTTCCTTGGGCAGCTTATATGTCCGATAGTAGAAGTTACCAAACAGGAAGATGAAGGTGACAGCATAGAAAATTACACCCCAGTGCATCCATTTAGGGAAAGGACAATCAATATAAATAGACAAGGCTGTGTGGCCAATAGTCACGTGGAACTGCACCTGAAAGACGGAAAAAACAGAGTCAAAAAGGTCTGGATATATGCAGGACACCTGACTCCACCAATGTATGCCAATGCATTAAGCTAGGAAAGACGTTAAATTGGAGGCGGTAGGGAAGCTGTGTTTGGCTGCCACATTATGCATGTGCACATATGCTTGACCAGGGGCATCAAATTTATTGCAGTACCTGGCACCAGTTTTCTGAAATAGGAAAATGAGAAGACATTAAGAGATCTGGATTTTCTCTATCTTTTGCAGAGGTGTTTGCAATCAGTTGAAACAACCAGTAAAGCAATATTAGACTTTACTCAACTCTTATCTATGCTATGTATTTTTTGAGAAATGAGATAAATCCATCTCTAGGAAGTATTCTAACTTGAGCTGTGAGTATCGGGCAGCCAAGAACTTTTGGAAGGAACAGCATCTGTTCCAATGCTCTGCAAATGCAAACTCCCTGAGAGGCAATACCTTCTGAGACAAAGGGAGAAATTGTACTTACCAGTTGCAATATGGTCAAGTATCGTTTCCACCACAGGTATTTCTGAAATTTAGGGCCACAGGCAGCTAATCCATAATACATGTACATAATGACATGAATAAACGCATTCATCTGAGCTCCAAAAAAAGCTGTCCAGGAACAGAAGGGAAGACTTTCATGTCATTTTGAAAAAAAAAGAAAGCAGTCTTTTCTAGTGTTTTTCATGTGACAGTAAAAATTTTAAAGCACAGGACATGCCAGGCTTCCACCTTTGAAATATTCAGTAGTATAATACAGGCCCGACTGCCAACATGTACCGATACAAATAGCTGTTCATGCATGTAGTATGTCACATCTTTCATGGAACCACTTATGCAAAAGCTTTTCATAAGATTTTGGTTGAACACGCATAAATCACATGGATTCCACATCAATTATTGTAGTATAAGTGCAAATGTTTTGCTAAAGGTTTATTAAAAGCCATATTTGACAATGTAAAGTATAAAGTATCAGGTTCTGCACTTAAATCTTTTAAACCATGTTTAAATATACAAGCTTTACTTCTCAGCAAGTAGTCAAGAAACTTACGTGGAAGTCTGATTAAAGAGACACAAAAAAAATCATACAAAACTAAACTTCATTTGTGGTTACAAGACATTTAAGGGTGTTGCTAAATGAGTTTGTTTAAATTGCTCCTCTTCAGTTTCCTTATTTATGACTTAAAATATCCAGCATTCTTAAATACATAAATGTATAGTATAACTTTTCCCAGAACAATTCATGCTGGAAACAGAGACAATGGTTCTCACTTGCATTAAGATTTCTTTGCTCTGTCAACATTAGCAGCCATTTAACAAAACAAATTATAAGTTGTTAAGGCATTCTTACATTGCCAGAGAGGCTCAAAAGGCTCTAATGTATAAGATCAGGGCAATACAGACAATAGCTGCTGACATCAAACACCTCAGGTGGTGGAGAGTGGATAGAGAGCAG